AAAAAGCAAGTAGCATTTGGTGGAAATTTTTTTAAAGAGTGAGTGTTGTACCAGGGCCTCTCTCTATATCCTCTTGTTTAATCCTCACTGTAACTCTATGAGGAAATGAGTAGCCATAATAGTAAGACTATGGGCCGGACATGGTGGCTCATGCCCGTAATCCCAGCACTTCAGGAGGCTGAGACGGATGGACTGCTTGAACCCAAGAGTTTGAGACCAGCCTGGGCAATATGGTGAAACCCCATCTCTACCAGAAAAATACAAAAATTAGCTGAGCATGGTGGCAGGCGCCTGTAATCCCAGCTACTTGGGAGGCTGAGGTGGGAGGATCCCTTGAGCCCAGGAGGCCAAGGCTGTGGTAAGCTGAGATCTGCACTCCAACCTGGGCAACAGAGTGAGACTCTCTTTCAAAAAAAAAAAAGTGTTAAGGCATTTTCCCCACCAGCCTTTTGTAATGGCATCACTTTTTTACTATGGAAAGTGAACTTAAACCTATTCCAAGTGCACACTACATCTGTAAAGAAGAGCAAATCCTAAGGGAACTAGTGGGAGGTGCGGTTTTAAAAGATGAAAAGTCCTAAATTCATTCTTCTTGGATTTTATTTAATTACGCATTTCATTTTAAGAAATTATAAACTCCTAAAGGCAAATGAATGTTTTGTGATGTTGTAATATTACTGAGAAATTCAACCACAGTACCAATAAAAGAAATCCAAATACCACCAAAACTCTCTTTTTCACCATTGGATTGGGGATGTCTGAGTCTGACCGCAGTCCCTCAGTGCTGACGAGGGTCTTGGAAACTCCATCCTTGCTGCTCTGTGGGAGTGCTCACCACACAGCAGTTGAGGATGGCAATCTGATCATGGGTGGCAGCATCTTAATGGGCATTCATGTTTTTTCTTTTCTTTAATTATTATTATTTTATTTTATTTTTTCATAAGTTATTGGGGTACAGGTGGTATTTGGTTACATGAGTAAGTTCTTTAGTGGTGATTTGTGAGATCTTGGTGTACACATCATTGGAGTAGCATACACTGCACCATATATGTTGTCTTTTATCCCTCGCCCCCTCTCCCACCCTTCCCTCCAAATCCCCAAAGTCCATTGTATTATTCTTACGTCTTTGCATCCTCATAGCTTAGCTCCCACATTTGGTGAGAAAATGCAACGTTTGGTTTTCCATTCAACAGGCATCAATTTTGACCCAGAGGGTCACTTCTAGTTTCTTCTAAAAAGATGATCAGGCAAGTCAGAAAAAAAAAAAAAAAAAAAAAGTAGTTTTCATTGCAGCCATTGTTTTATAATAATCTTTAAAACTAAGGAAAGCTACATCTCAAAACTGTCAGTTTTTTTCTAAATTCAGTTGCACTTTGTTGATCTAACCAGTGTCATCCCTCACTCGATACGCTCACAAGGGCTCTCTCACACTTGCCTCCAGAAACCCGCTAGCTCTCTTCCTCACCAACAGGAAAGTTCAAGTTCCTTGAAAGACCAACAAGACCAAACCCGGCCTGCTCCCTCCAGTGCTGGGCTTTGGCCATGCTGACCTTTTCTCTGTTCCAAGAAACAAGCCAAGGTCTTACCACTATAGCACTCCTGTCCAGAAGGTTCTCCCCACCCGCCTTTCCTAACCAACACCACCCTCCTTTAGGGCTTCTGTGATCACCACCTGCCCCAGATCACTCTAGCTCCCTGTGCATCATGGCTTCATGCCACCTCGTCTTGTACCTGCAAAGCACTTACACATCTCATGAAGCCAGGGACCATGTTTCTTTCTTTGCTATCTCTATTCTTCATTTTCTTATTTTTATAAATTTAAGGGGTACAAGTGAAGCTTTGTTATGTGGCTATATTGCGTGGTGGCAAAGTCCAGGCTTTTAGTGAAATCATCCCCTGAATAGTGTAGATCATGCCCATTGAGTAATTTCTTATTCCTCACCCTTCTCACCCTCCCACCCTTCCCAGTTCCAAGGCCTATTATTCCATACTCTATGTCCACGTGTACACTTTATTTAGCTCCCACTTATGTGAGAACATGTGTATCTGACTTCCTGTTTCTGATCTGTTTCATTTAAGATAACAGCCTCCAGTTCCATCCATGTTGCTGCAAGACGTGATATTCTTCTTTCTTATAGCTAAGTAGTATTTCTACATATATATATACACGCCCCACATTTTATTTATCCAATCATCCATTGATGGACACTTAGAATGATTCCATATCTTTGTGATTAGATGCTCAAAAATACATGCTGAAACATGGCTAAATCATACATAGCAGGCTCCTTCTTTCTTTCGCTCTCTCTCTCACCTCTGCCACTTTTAGCAACAGCCGCATTCCAAGCAGGAAGAAAGAGGTACAGGTTGAGTGTGCATCCCTCATCCAAAATGTTTGGGACCAGAAGTGTTCTGAATTTTGATTGTTTTCAAATTTTGAAATGTATGTATTACACTGACTGGTTCAGCATCCCTAATACAAAAATCTGAAATGCTCCGATGAGCATTTCTCTGAGCATCACATCAGCACTCAAAGCATTTTGGATTTTGGAGCATTTTGGGTTTCAGATTTTCTCACTAGGCATGCTCAGCCTGTATCAGAAGAGGCTCAGCCAAAGCCACTTCTCTGCCTTAAACTGAGCTCCGTGGCCATTCTCAGCTATGAGGGCTTGATAAAGGCTAAGTTGTTTTTTTGGGTTTTTTTAATCTTTGTAGCCCTACAGCAAATAAAGATGGGCAAAAAGAGGTTAAACTCAAAACTAAAATGTCTAGAGCCACCTTCATCTATCCCACTGCAATGAAAACGCAAGGACATAAGAATTTACTACAGTATTGTTCCCAGTGGCAAAAAGTTGGAACTCAAACAAACGCCTAATGACAGAGGAATGACTAAATAAATTCTGGCTCATCCACACCACAACCTATTATACAGCCATTGAAAAGAATGAATTAGAGCCACATTGATGACTCTGGGAGATTTCCATGAGCAATTATGGAGTAAATAAAACCAAATGCAGAAAAAAAAAGTCTGTTTCCTTATCCCATTTCTAACAAAAATGAAGAAAAGCACTCTCTAACATCTGTGCACATACATGCAGGTAAGTGCGAGTGAGCTGAAAATTATAGGCCACATACTGTTATCATGAGTGACCTGTGCAGAAGGCAGAAAGTTTGGGAAGGGAAAGAGAAGAAGAAGAGCAAAAAAACAAAAAGAAAATTTTTGAAACAAAATGTTATAATATGATCCATTAATGTATTAACTTAAATACATACGTGTGTTCATATATACAAAGAGAAAACTTTATATGTTGTCTCTTCTTTTTTGTTTCTGAAATCAGGCTTTCAAGACTGGCAATTTCCCACTTGTTTTGAATCCTCAGAAAATGTCGTATCTCCAGAAAGTAAACAAATTTTGACTAGATAGCATTTCCTTAATGGACTTCCAGTGACTCTTCTGGATAAGAAAACAACACTTCTACATTCAAACCCCAACTGCCACTTGAATCTCATCAAATGAAATTTTAGTTTTTCTTTCTAGCTTGTGTTTTTCCCTGGAGAAACAAGTCTATAAATGTTTAAAACAGACACTGCTTCTCATGGTGAATAAAATATTATTGTGTAGAAAACTGGCTCCAGGAAATTAAAAATCGATATACTCTGAGAACTAAAATAGGATGGAAAAAGTTGCTTTGTCCACATTGCAATGGCAGGGGCAATGCAAAACAAAAGAATCAGTATTGTAAAATAAAAATTACAAGAGAGCATTTTTCAGCTTGGTATGAGAAATACAACTGACCGAGTGAAAAAAATTAACCCTGTTTGTGTTTTACTCAAGTGACCATCTCTGCAACTTACTGCTAATTTGCCTCCTTGGAATTTACCATTCCTGGTAGCAAAATCATTTGCTCAGAACTGTTCTAGTCTTGCCCAATCACACTTTTCTAATGAAGATTCCTTGCTGAATGTTCTAGCTTTGACCTCATTTCAAAGTTGCTTTAATTTTAAAGCCTGACTCAAGATCTTCAATTATTATATCTTAAAAATCTTAAATGTTTTCTGTTTCTGTTATTAACTATCCTAGGTTAGGGATATTTAAAATAACAGCTGATAATATGGTTTTAAAAAATTGTAAGAATGATTGCTAATGTCTGGCTCTCACTTTAAGAGGACATGGGAGCCTTTGGAAGACGTCTTGCCTGTCTACCTAGGGCTGGCCCCCAGGTCCCGATCTGAGAGTCTGGGCTGGCTGACTGCTAGGTGGCTTTCATAGAAGCCAGCCTGTCTTCTGGTTCCATTTTTCTCTCCACCCCAGTATCTTGGGTTACTCTGGAAAGCTATGCGATGCCCATGTGCACACCCAGTTAAAGGGCATTTGAGTCTTTGCCCGTGGAAATTTCATAAATGGAATGTGTAATGAGCCATGCATGGCTTATCGCTAAGGAATCCGGGGGAATCTAAAACTTGGATGACAGGGTCTCTTATGGGTCTTTTCTTCTCGTACCTCTTGACACAGCACGACTATCTTGAAGTCAGCCAGTGGCCAGCAGAGGCGGTCTTTCCATCTGTTTCAGAAAACCCCGTGGCTTGTGCAACCTGGGAAACTTGCCCACAGCCATCCCACGTGGTGAGTCAGCTCTCTGGCTCTATTATCTACTGTCTCTTCCCAGATGTGACTGCCTGTTTAGGAGCAGGCAAAGTTATGCGGACCCAGGGGAGAAGCAGACACTCACCTAATGCACAGTCCTGCTGAGAAGTTACCCAAACCCAAGGAGGTGGAAATGGACCAGAGCTTGGGTCCTTTCCAAGACTGTTAACTGAAGATTTCTGTGGTGACATCACATAGAATTTTGACTAGCATTCGCTAAGAAAGAACTGAAAGCAGGATCTGTCTCACTATACACTGAGAACTGTAGAATATGCAAGGCACATGGAACTTATTTTCTTATGTATAAAAGCTTGTATATACTCCTTATGCATCTGTCCTAATGCTTTCCAAACAGTCCTCACTCTAAGCCTCACCAAGACCCAGATGGGGAAACAAAGGCACAGAGGGGTGAGTCACTTGACCAAGTCACAGCGCGGGAAAGGGACAGAGTTTTTGTGTCAAATCCAGGAAGTTCACCTCTTGGCTATAGTGCTTCTGATTCACCAGTGATTCCCACACGGTGGTCCCTGGGCCAGCGGCATCAAAATCACCCAGGAACTTGATAGAGATGAAAAGTCACTGGCCTCAACCCAGACTTACTGAATCAGAAACTCTGGGGAATGGGGCCCAGAAATATTTGTTTGAACAAGCTTGCCAGGTGATTCTCATGCACACTACAGTTTGAGGAATATTGAACTAGGCCTTTGGAATGAGGTTTTTCTTTACTGAGTGTTTTAGGGGATTTCTTGGGCAAATATCAGAAGAGATTCACTAGAGTCCTTTCTGGGTACAAGTTAATAAATAGGTTTCCTTTCTGAGGTACTGCATGCAATAGTCAGAACTGTAACAAAGTACATTTATGAACATATTAATAAAAAATGTGTTTACTCTGTGAAAATAATATTCCCTTAGAAAGGCGTTCATATGAACTTGGTGATGGATCTAATAGGGTACAGTAGGGAAGGGTCAAGAGTCACCCCACACCTTGTATCTCAGGTCAGCCCACCTCTTTCCATCTCTGCTCCCATCCTGGCCCCAACTATGCTCATCTCTCACTCAGAAATCTACAGTGGCTTCCTAACTCGACACCCCTTCTATTCTGAAACTCATTCAAGCCGTTCTTCACATTGAGGCCAGAGTGATTTTTCTGCAAATCTGAGCTTAAGTAAAGCCCCTAAAGAATTACTGTTGTTCACAGGATACAGAACAAAATGCCTTACAAGGCCCCTGAGTCCGTGGGGCATGGTTTGCCCATTCCTTTACCCCAAGAGACATAGAATGCAATTCTCCGTTTCACTGCTTGCTCCAGTCACCCAAGCAATCTTCTATTTTCTCAAAAACACAAAGCCTTATATGCCTCAGCTACTTTCACATGTTTGTCCCTCTTCTTTAAATGCTTTTCCCCTCGTTTCACTGTTTAAGCCATATATACCCTTCAAACTTCAGTTCAAACCTCGCTTCAAGAAAACCTTTATGTTTTCACCAGAGAGCTTACAGCGTTGGGCATCCCATCAAATATCATCAGGCATGCAAGGAAGGAAAAAAAGCCCCATAATGAAGAGAAAAATCAACAAATTGAAACGGTCCCAGAATGGGCACAGGTGTCAGAACTAGCACACAAGGACGCTAAAACATTGTTATAACTGTATTCCAGAAGTTCAAAAAGTTAACTAGACACATAAAAGTTTTTTTTTTTACTTTAAGTTCTAGGGTACATGTGCACAATGTGCAGGTTTGTTACATATGTATACATGTGCCATGTTGGTGTGCTGCACCCATTAACTCGTCATTTACTTTAGGTATATCTCCTAATGCTATCCCTCCCCCGTCCCCACACCTCAGCCCCAGGACAGGCCCCAGTGTGTGATGTTCCCCTTCCTGTGTCCAAGTGATCTCATTGTTCAGTTGCCACCTATGAGTGAGAACATGCGGTGTTTGGTTTTCTATGCTTGTGATAGTTTGCTGAGAATGATGGTTTCCAGCTTCAACCATGTCCCTACAAAGGACACAAACTCATCCTTTTTTGTGGCTGTGTAGTATTCCATGGTGTATATGTGCCACATTTTCTTAATCCAGTCTGTCATTGATGGGCATTTGGGTTGGTTCCAAGTCTTTGTTATTGTGCGTAGTGCCGCAGTAAACGTAAGTGTGTATGTGTCTTTATAGCAGCATGATTTATAATCCTTTGGGTATATCCCCAGTAATGGGATGGCTGGGTCAATTGGTATTTCTAGTTGTAGCTCCTTGAGGAATCACCATACTGTCTTCCACAATGGTTGAACTAGTTTACAGTCCCACCAACAGTATAAAAGTGTTCCTATTTCTCCACATCCTCTCCAGCACCTGTTGTTTCCTGACTTTTTAATGATCGCCATTCTAACTGCTGTGAGCTGGTATCTCATTATG